GAAAAAGTCATCCCAATTTATTGTGTTGAGTTGGCATTGTACAGAAATGGACAGCCATATTGGTACAGAAATGTTAATTTTTTTAAATTTTGTTTTCCATGTGTACAGGGGTAACACATCGTACTAAATATGTAAGGTCTTATCTACATGGGTTTGATTACAGAAACTAATAAAGTATTCGCTAAATAATAAAAAAAAATAAGATAAGACTATAAGAGCAAGAAGCAATTTAAATATGTTCAGGGACCATTTTCATTTCCAGAATTAAGGATTATTTTAATGTTACATCACTGCCTTTTCTCTTTTACTTTTCTTTTTAGTTTTATTTTAGGATTCCCTATTTTTAATGTTCATACAGAGATTTCTTTAACTGAAATACCGAATAGTTTCTTTGGTGTGAAAAACTATAATACTACACAGGATCCTAATGAGATAATTAATAATGTGAAATAGGAAGTAAAGGGCTAAAGGTGTAGGGAAAGTGGGAAGGGTGGGGGAAAGGTAATAAGGGAGAGGAAAAAAATATGATAAACTGAAAAATTGGAAATAAAGTGTTTGTAAATGGGGAGGGGAGGAGAGGGAAGGGAGGGCAGGGGTAAGGGGAAAAAATGAGAATCAAGACCTATTATGTAAAGGTACAGAATCCCAATGATGAATGTAACCGTACTGTATACCTAGATTGTACCAATAAACTCAATAAAAAGAAAAAAAAAGAAATACATTAGTATGTTGCCTTTGTGTGTCGAGAACTAAGTCGAAGATGCACACACTGCCTTTAACTCAGCCACTCAGCTGTACTGCAATCTGGATTTCAGAGTGTGCAGAGCCTTCAGACTCCTTTATTCTAAGGCTTATTCCAGAAACAAGGAGTCAGCAGGACTGAGCACAGCCTGTGAGAGGCACGGCTGGCACTAGATAGACCCCTGCCGTGAGGCTCCTTCTATTCTCCATACTATTTCCAGCTGCCCTGCTTTGGGAAGCTGCCCTGGGTTTGTAACACATGTGGTGAAACAGAAAAAGCTTCGGCCATGCACACAGCCCTCCTCGGCCTCTGCAGTGACCCTGAGGGTGCAGACAGACCACACTCAAGTGTGTGCCAGAGGACCCATGCCGTTAGTCATCAGAGCACACATGCACAGAGCCAGAGGCTCAGAAGCCCAGGCTCCCGACTCTTCTCTGTATGATTCTGGAGGAACGGGGAGACCCAGGAAACTATGAATAAAGATCACTTATGAGTGGCAGAGAAAGGGCAGAAAGGTATTACAGGAGAGGGGAATGGTGAAATGGAAGAAAATAACAGGCACAAGGAAACTTGTGATCTTCTTTGCTTGGAGATGAGAGTGGTTAAGAGTGCCACCTTATGAGCTGCCCCCTTTACTCTCCCTTTAAAATTCAGCAGCACGCAGATGCAGGAAGAAAAAATATGTGAAATGATTTTGCCTGATA